ACAAATTGCCTTAATATTATATTGCAATAACAATTTCGCGAGAAAGTACGTGCTGTTGTTGCACCACTAATTTAAATAGATGTCAAAGATAGACCACTGTTGCGCTGATAGCCTAGATTTACTTTCTCGATCTTTTTACACAGAGTACAAGTATTGTAATGTTGCGGGGAAAAGCCAATGGGATAAAAAACTGGTTAAATGATGTTCCTATATGTAATAAATTACTTCCTCTAACGCGTTGTGTGGACAGAACGCATATTTGGTGGGTCCACGATTGCGAAAAATCTATTGAAAACAGAACGTCCGTGTCTGTACAACTTTACTGCCTACGGTTTAGCCGCTATTTTCACACAAAATGTTATTCTTGTATCGATCTGACTTTATGTTCGTGTTTTTGTCAAGAGGTCTTTATCAATTTTTCTCAAATTGTTTTGTGCAATTTGACTGGAAATTTACGCAAATGTTATACAATTTCGACAAATATTCTCAAAAACTGCCATAAGATTTTTTTCTTCGTATGTTGCACAGAACACACAATAAACAAAATGGTCCGGATCCTCGTTTTCGGGAACACTCTGTATTTTCGAAAAAAAAAAAAAAAAAAAAACACACTGCAAATGTACAATATATATTTTTAGAGTTTTTTAATGCACTCTATTCTCAAAAATTAGTTTTAAAAAAAAGGATCTACCGTTTTAAAAATGATTAGTTTAGCATAATTTTACAAACTCTTATTAACCTTGGTTCTTTTGCTACAATGTTTCAGGAGTTATCACCTGGCGTGCAACAAGGCAACGCCTTGATATGGCAGTTTGAAATTCTGAGAATAAGTTAATTGATGGACGGCGTTCCTGTATGTATGGAACAGAGTTTGTGTTTTCGGATGTGTTGATGTACTGTATTACCTTTAAATGTATTAGTTTTTCATTCCCATTGCGCAACGATCGTTTTACAAGTGATGGTTGTTATGTGTTAACATCGATGAAAAACAGTTACTTTACGTAACCGATACTAATGCGATAAAGTACGTGCTGTTATAGCACCATAAGTTTACTAATACCATTGTTCTTTATGCTGTAATGACGAATGTTACTTTAACATAATTCTCTTACATTCTCTTGCACACTTTCTTTCATTCTCTTCTGACCACGTATCAGTGCTAAATCGACCACTGCTAATTATTATTAAATTACCAAATTATTAATTAACGTTACTTACCTCTTTGATGTATAAAAACCAACATTGACTTTAGTTATTGAAACAAATTTTATCCACTCATGAATTATAATATCTTAATACAGTTAATATTATTTCATTGCTTTCCACTATCAACTCCCTTGAGCAGTTCTACAAATATAGCGGGGGAACTGATATGCATAAAATATCACATTTATTGGGAATACATTTTTTTTTCTGTAATCTGAAGTGCCTCAAACATTTCTTCTATTCGCGGGAGAAATGACTTGCTTGTAGTTTTCACTATGTAAATTTGCTAACAACACTAGTCTGTTGGTTGTATGATTGAAAAATAATTAGTAATTTTAAGACCGTTTTGTACTTAAGGCCCAACGTGGCTCTATAGTTGGAACTCTTCCTGAATTCAGGACTGTCTCACGTGTCTATTAATTTGCAGGCGTGTTAACTGCTTTGATCAGTCCCGTAAGTGAAGAGCATGCTCCATGCCGGGATGATACGATGTTACTTCTCTGCCTTCTTTCACTGACACGCGACTACATGGCCGCTTGCGTGTGATCCACCTCCGGCTATCTTCCCCAAAGGGGACCACCCCAGCTGAGACGAGACGAGCTTTAAGCCCCAGAATGGTCTCCCTGCAGTATCGGCACCATGAAAGCGACTCGGACGGTTCTTTCCCCACTTGTTCCGCTACGTCATGTGACCTGCTCTGAAGCAATCAGCTTGCGATGTATTTTTACATTTCAGCGTTGCCGCTCGTCCGACTCATACGAAGTCGTGGAGGCAAGAAGGTTCGCTGTGGTGGAAGTTATGAAAAATATATGAAGACGTGTCATCGCTTGTCAGCAAGTGTTAATGTTTTGAGATTTAATTTATCAGCCATGCAGGTGGTACCATGAGCATAGTTAAGACAGAGCGATCGCCGGGTCCCCGCAAGTCAACGGACCCGATGGGCAAAATTAGTAAAAAATTAAAACGAAATTAGAACTCTAGGAAATGGTTATTGTAATTTTAGAAGTCGCGATACAGTAGTATAATATTTCATAAAATGTTCAATTATTTTTTTCTACCTTAAATAGGTATAGTCATTACTAGCGCTAGGATTTTGATGTCCTAAAAACTATATAAATATGCCCTAAAGAGTACAATTATGACCTAAAAATGCCTTAAAAATGCCCTAAAACGTATCCACTTCATTTTAGACTGCGATATATTTCTTTCTTAGTTACGCCAATAATTTGCGATGATACAATATTCGGAATAAATTGAATGCGGTAAAACTCAGTGTAAGGAACAATCAGTTCACAAAACTGTCTATACCACAGACATTTATTGAAACCAAAGTGAAAAAGGACCAAACCATGATTTCGAGACTAAAAAATTCCTTTTCAAACAAAAAATGTTACAACATGCCCTAACGAAGACATGTCAAACGTCTCAAAGCTCTGCAATGTTGGTACCAAAGACTTAAGAGTTTCTCAAGAACAAGAAAAAATACGGAAAATAATGAAAATGCTAGTTACTCACAAGGTAGGATTTTATGAAATTAAAAGACGCTAACATTAAAATAGATTTCAATGAAATTCACGTTTCTTGTATCATGCGTTTAACAAATGAATGTATTAAAAACTAACTAAACAAACCTTTTTTAGCGTTTTAAGCTCACCATGGAAATTGTATGATTTGAACACTAAATACTTTTACTTAAAAGTATTATTTAAAAAAGGGTTTCCAAGAGCTTTCTCTAGCTTAAACGTAAATTTTGTTATTTGCTGAAATAAAATAACTCAGTTTCTTGATACAACTTTCACATTTTTATTTTTTTATCGAGGTGGGCTATGTTGCACCATTGCTACGGATCCAAAATTGACTAGCTTTGACACTATGTTTGGCAACAGCGTATCGAACTGTCAGAGTCGCTTATACACTGCCGGTACTGTACATGTTTGGTAGAATACATGCAATATGTGTGTCAGGGGAGAGGCAAGGACAAGTATAAAGATGAGGAAAAGAACACTAGTGGTCTGAGTAGTTCGTTGCAATACTGCTCCGGCAGCCATGGAGAATTACTGATTAGAGCAGCCGGACGCTAAAATTCTCCCCCAGACCGATTGAATTCGACATCACTATTCAGTTGCTTGCGTCGGAAATCAGCCATCGTCGGGTTTCCAACTCTAGACCATGTCTGTCATTGATGCAGCACAAAATGGTAATGCTGCCACTGAATCTACTTAGCGAGCCTTTTGCAAAAAAACACACTGTGTACTCTGCATACCAATTTTGAAGAAATAGTTTACCAATAGTATGAGGATGCTGAGCAGGAAAATAGGGATTGATCTCTCTGCGAGGGAAAGCGAGAGAAATTGAAAATAATTTACAAGTTCAAAAATAAAGAAGTTCATTAATTGATAAAATATAATTTTAATTATCGAATGAACACAAAAGTCACATTCTGCAATTTTTGTAGTATTACAGAAACGTCGGGAAATATATACTATATTGCCCGAGATATATTGAACTCTCGAAATGTGGCCTCATGAAAGACATTTATCAGAAAAGTTCAAAAATATTCGTGGACGAAAGTGGGGAGGAGACTTTAAGAATTTAAATTAAACACTACTTTTGTTGCAGATTTTGATTCCGTGTCAAAATCGGTAAAATATCCGAAAAGAAGTTTCCGGTTTCTGTTAGATCGCGTTATATCAAACGAAAAACAAACCTGAGTGGGGGAAGGCACGTTGCATTTCATAAATCTGCGATAAAGTATACCAATATGAGAGTTCTGTTCTGGGTCATTTAAACAAGTACATTTAACAACTTTTTTCGAACTCCTTGGCGTAAGGCAATCTTGAATATTAACACACGGGTACGTACGTTGAGTTGTACACGAGTACGTTGGAGTGAAACTATGCGCTCATAAAATTGGTATGATTCTACGATCTTCCTGAAGCTTCCCGAGTGCTACTTCACACGTGTATTACTGTAATTTCAACACAGTCTAAAGAAATTATAATTTAATTTTACAATCCAATATAAATACTGAGGCTGGATAGCAAGTGCAGCAAGGAGAATTTCCCCAGCAGTTCACACATTTTGAGACCCGATCTCTACACCGATACGAAATAGAGGTTATTGAAATGTTGGTTGTCGGTTAAGAGGCACTTGAGAAAGCATAATATTTACCCATAGATACACTTTAAATATTAATTGAACACTTCAATCTACATAGCATATTTGATACACAATTTTTATTTAAATAAGTGGAGAAAATGTTTAACATTATGAATCATATTATTAACACTATCTTTAATAATATAGGCATTCGATTTAAATCTTACTATTATATGCAGAGGCTGATACAAGGATATTTAAGTCGTTCATATCTTAAGTTTTAAAGGATTAGTCGAAATGTAACTGTATTGTATACAATTTTACACGTAACTACTTTTCTGGATTTTTAAACTGATTATAATTCTGTTTCTCTTGCTTGGCGTTGAAACGTTAATCAGGATTAAAACTGTTAAAAAATTAGGCCTTTTTAAAAAAAATCTTCGTAATATATTCCAATTAATGTTTAAAAACTAGTTATTTATGATCATTAACAAATTCAGTAAATATAAAATATATACGTTCTTCGACACATATTCAAATTTTATCACTTCGCATTTCTCTCAGGTTGCGATGATTTTCTGAATAAGGAAATAGTATGACATGTATCGAAAAAATTGGCTCCGTCTTTCTCGGAATCAACATCAATAATAATTGAAAAGTACTTCTCACAAATACACAACACTTTTTTTAAAACATTACACAAACCCCTGCGAGTACAGTTCAGCGATAACGGCAGACGCATGTCTCGCAGAACGACGAGGTAGCCGTGGAACCTGGACATCAAGTAGCCTGGACGACCGTCGCGGAGTTCCCCGTTGGGTTCTCACTGCAGAATGTGCATTAAGACGAAGTCCCGTGTTAGAAGTCGTAACGGGAGGTTCCGTTGCTACCAGGCCGCCAGGAGTACTTTCAGAACTACTAGACGCTGTAACCGGTTGCGCTTCTGGCACCGTCGATCGGATGGTCGAACCGGATGTGACAGTCCCATTACCTCTTCCTACACGAACTGTTGGCCTTGCTGACCGGCGAGACGTAGTTTGGGAACTGTGCTCCACTCGTGACCTTACCGTAGCTGGAGAATACCGCTCCACTGGTGGCCTCACCGAACGGCGAGTTACAGAATGAGAATTGCGCTCCACTTGTGCCCTTTGTGAACGGCCGGACGAAGCTGGGGGATTACGCTCCACTCGTGCCCTCGGTGAACGGCCGGACGAAGCTGGGGGATTACGCTCCACTCGTGCCCTCGGTGAACGGCCAGACGAAGCTGGGGGATTACGCTCCACTCGTGCCCTCGGTGAACGGCCAGACGAAGCTGGGGGATTACGCTCCACTCGTGCCCTTGGTGAACGGCCGGACGTAGCTGGTGGATTACGCTCCGCACGTGTCCTTACTAAACGGCCAGACGCAGCTGTTGCATTACGCTCCACTGGTTGTCTCACAAAACGACGAGTTGTAGCATGGAAATCGGGCTCCAGCGTTTGCCTGCTGGGACGTGCTCTGGAGAGTACCACGCGCGCTTCCAGACCCCTTAGAGATCGACGTGCTGATGAGTGCGCTGTAGTACGCATTGCTGAAACCTGGCCATCATTCTCTATAGGCTGTCCAACAACCGGAAGCATCTCTCCTCGTGAACAACCACCCTGAAGACTTTGTACAAAACTAGTCTGACAAGACACATTCACTGGCAGTGGGGGTGAATGAATGAAATTTGCAATATCCTCCAGAATGATGCATCGGCCATTTATATTTGGATTTCTACATATGGGACATTGTAGCATTTTTGCTCTACAATCGTTGCAGAAAGCGTGCCCATTTGGGCACATACGCACCGTCGTCCTTTCCATGGTGTCTGAGCAGACTGGACACTCCAGCGCTTTTCGCAGCTGTTCCTTCAATTGAGTAATTTTCGCCATCCTGAAAAAAATATGTAAATTTAAGTAAATAACACATTCTCGTTACAAAATTGAACAAGTTTCAGCCTTAAAAATTCTGCAGAAGAGTAAGCAATTACCCACTAGCATTTAAAGTTTATTTTGGAAGTTTAATATAGTTACACAGATCGTCATGAATAATTGCAACAAAAGAAATAATTTGGGAATTGAATTTACCTCACTAGCTCCTAATATTCCGGATTTGTTACAGTCAATTCCCTTCCCTATTTTAAATCTATTATTAATGCAGATACCAAAAAGAATTGTAAATGTTAAACTCGCGTTTATGCCCCGAATTTGCTCATGGACTATAATTTATGTGGACTGCTTTCCTCATTGTGTTTGAAAAATAATTAAACAAGTTGAACATGATTTATTGTCTTCTTATTCCAAGCATACCTGATTAAGCATGTGTATGAATAGGTCTTAGTCAATTATTATATGAATGTATTAAGACTGAAGAACCGATTCGATTATGTAAAATAGAACTATAAAGCTCGTAGTAAAACTGTTTCAAACCTTCCTTATTTTATAACTGTTAATTTGGCGTATGATTGCAGTTTGAAGTGGCATTTTTTGTACGGTATTTTCTATTTTGAATGTTTAAAGTGAAAAAAGTTTTTTTTTTTTATTTTGAGGAAACAGGGAACGAAGTTTAACGTCAAATATGTTACTACCATTCTTATTCCGAATTAGAAATTCATTTCAGATATTTCCAACTTTCTTTTGGTTTCCTCAATTTCTTCGGCGTTTTCTTTCTTTATCGCTTCAAAAGTTATTTACTTTCATAAAATAAATCCTAAATCCTTTTCAGCCTTCAAATCATTTTGAACGTATACTTTTGAAACCAACAAATACCATATTACTGTAAATATATAAACACATTTTCCGAAAGGAGAAAAATTATCTTTCACATGACGTAAAAAATTAAACCTAAAAATTTGGTATAACACTCGTGTATACCTCTAGATTTTTTAAATTATTACTCTCATTTTCCCCACATATTTCCCCTCCCCCCTCTCCTTCGAAAACTTGCCATTCAGAAAATAGAATTGGAAAACAACATCTGACAAATAAATTAATTATTTTTATTTATTTTATTTAATAGGTAATTATTACAGACAAAATTAGTTAACTTGATCCTATGTGGCTAGGCCGAAGGCCTTTAAGCCATTACAATACCTACATCCTTTCGCGTTCTAATCTTTCGAATTCTGGTATTCACCCCAAATGGTCTCTCCATCGCATCAAAGCCGCGGAAAAGAGACCATAAGGTACGGCTCAGGAAAAAACCCCTGAAGGGGGAAAAACCTGCCGTCAGAAGCCGAGTACATTCTAATCTATCCGACGTTTATTTTAGCTATTTTATTTTCTGGCGCGGGCGTCCCGCCGTCTCCTTCCAGTGCTTGGCCTCCTCAGCACCTGAAATCAAACAGCGCCACAGAAGATCGTCCGCACCAACGCCTCTGCCCTTATATTTTTTTTTCGATATATTAATATCACATAACGATACACATTTCGATAAATTAATATCACAATTGATGAATATGCCGACTGGCAAAACTTCTTGATATGCGATTTTGACAGGTTTTGGGGTCCTTGGTAACTGAAAAAGTCCTTTTATTTTCTGTTATCACGAACTTACAGAACACTTAATACTGAAGCTAGATTTCTCAATATCAAATCATTTAATGTACGTTTTTTCATGTATTCCTCAATATCAAATCACTTCATGAAGTTTTATTTCCTTCGACACACGTTTTTGGAGAAATTCATAATTCAAGCGAGAGAATGTTGGTCAGTGATATATCAGTCCAGCAATCAGTAGCGTCTCCTCCTCCATGGTTTTACGATCAGTTTTACAGATTAAACAAGGTAAGCCAATTTTATCTAATCGACATCGTACAATATGTTATGGTACAATACGTTTAGGTTTTCCGTATTACGATGCAACATACCTTCTTTCAGAGTATTTAAGAATTGCTAATTTCGTATTGATGTCCCTGACAATGACAAAACAATTCACAAAAGTTCATTTAAACATGGACAATACACATCACCTAATTGTTTAATTAGAAGTCGATTTGCCGTTATCTTCGAGCGTATTTGAGAACTAAATAGAAGTTTTATTCACTGTTTCCTGCCTCATGTAATTGACCCTCTTCTGCAACCCATGTGCTAGCCTTGTCGCATCATTTCGCACGAGAATTGTTGGATTTAATTATCACGGTACAGTATCAAAACTATGTTTTTAGTGGAAGGACATGTTATACTCTAACGCAGTTTCATGAAAAATTCATCACTTTTGCAACAACACACAACACATGTAAAAAAGTGGCAACAGAACTATCACCAGCGCTTCTTTGTCAGAACTGATAGTCTCCGAAAATACGTTCTGGATCAACAAAGTTGGCTAGCATTCATTGGTATGCGTGTGTACTATACGCGCACGTTATCTTGACATTCCAGAGCGAGGGGTACGGCGAAAGGAGAGCTCGTCACAGATTAAAAGGGAGTACCACCTGTGGGCACGCACTTATCTCGCAAAGCGTGCCAGGGAATATTCTACGATTGTTTCGAAGGTACGAGGTGGATGCTGTCAGCATTAAATCGGTACGTACCATTCCGAGTGGAACCTAACTATCTCAACGTTCTGTGTTATTCAATGCTGGATAAGGACTAAGGAGCTCGTGTATCAAGAAAACTTGCGCGAGTAGTAGTGTGGGCAAGGCTCCCCTAAACCCGCTATGGAGTCCACATTACCACGTGTCCACTGGGGTTCCAAGGCATTTTCACCGGCATCGCATCGCATTTTCACCGGCATCGCATCGCATTTTCACCGGCATCGCATCGCATTTTCACCGGCATCGCATTTTCACCGGCATCGCATTTTCACCGGCATCGCATTTTCACCGGCATCGCATTTTCACCTGACCCCCTTAAAAAATGACACGTGCCGTGTTAACCATCCCCGTGTGTCGCATGAAAAGCAGATGTGTATGTCTGGAGTTGTTTCTTTTTCGTCAATTACGTAATGCTTGGCGGGAAGGGGACTTGAGGGAGCGTTACGTTAATTGCTTAACATTTGCAGAAATAATTCCACTAATTCAGTAACATACAGTTTATATACCACACAGTTAACAAATTAAATTAAAAATATAAATAAATGAAAACAATGTTCCAACAAATATAACTTCTTCATTGATGAAATATTGATTGAATCTGTTAGAAGAAAATATTGAAAATTGATGTGTAGAAAATTCTACCTATTATCCATTTAAATCGGCACCCGTAGTCTCTCGCTCATGTATCGTCCACGATGGCAGTGCATGGATTATTGTTCGAATTGTTCTCACTCCAGCATCCTTCCTCAAAAATTTTCTCCAATTTTACTGATAGGCGCGGTCCGCATTACCAACTAATGCTAACATTAATTATATATAAATTTTCATATTGAACAGAAAGACAAATACAAATATTTTTTACTGCTACATAATATATTTTTACTTTCTGTAAATGAGAGGGGGCATGTCTCAAGCGAAACGAAATGAAGGGGTGCACGCTCGCGTTACAGATGAGTTACAGGAGGGAGGGATATTCAAATTATTCCAAATTTGCGTTACGTAATTTATCGACGGCCCATTATATATAATTTGAATTGATCTGTACGTTTAGTATTTTGCAATCATTTTATTTATTTATTTTTTTTTTCGTTATTTTCCTGATTCTCTCCTGACAATCTCGATCTTGCTGGAAACATTGTTCTTCTAAGTCTATTGTAAGTCTAGGAGAAGGCACTGTCGCGTTCTGTCTCTGATTTGGTGCCTGTTTAGTCAGATAGTTCTAAAATGAGAAAGGAAGATAAGAGCCAAGATTTTTCATTTTTTCATTGATACAGAGAAGCTGTGTGTGCTCACAAGGGACCCCATCACGGAGGACCGTATCTATTGTCTGTGACCTCTCATCTCTTGAGGACAGAGTTGTCTGGGTGAAATAAGATGCGATTTTTCTCAGGGCTGGCGATTACACTAGTAAGAATAAAGAAAACTATAATTGCCGTTTCGCTAACGCCATTCCAAAATTCAAAAAGGGAGTTCACAATAGCTTTTAATAGAGATAGAGTCACGAACGAAACAAATTTGTTATGATCATGTCGGATGGTCATGTGCAATCACAAGATGACCAAGAAAAAAATCTGGTTCCTTCCATGTAAGTGCTGGTGTAAATTTTAGAATTCGAAAAAACAAAAAATTTAAATTAGTAATTTCTTTACAATTCTTCCACTTAAATATTGATTTTTCATGGTTTACGCGCCTTTACGCAACCCATACTTTAGCCAGAATAAACGACTTTTTGTATACGTATTTTCGACAAATAAATCTATGAATTTCCGGGTTTTAGTTATGAGTCATTGTCTTTGGCACAAAAGTACAGAATAATGCCTAAAGGTAAATTACTTATTGCAGGCACGGATCAACGGGGAGGGAAATGGGAGAAATTTCCCCCTACTTTATTCAGCAACTATTAATTTTAAACAGTCACGAAACCTTCAAGCAAAAATATTTTTGGATAATTATTAAAACAAATAAAACCATACCACAACATGAGCCGAGTGTAGCCTGTGATATTTTACAAAATCTGTAACAAATTCGACCAAATATTTTGAATTTCTCTTCCCCAAATTTGTGTCTGTATTCGTTCCTACTCCTTGTGTTATCAGATTAACCTCCAGTAAACAAGGTTTACACATGCTGCACATATAGACTGGCCTTTATAACAAATAAAATTGGCTCTGCCGGACAGGGCAGTTACTCGTCCTGACGCGGCTGTAGTGGGACCGAACTCACGAAAAGTTAAATGGCAGAAACCTTGACGAGGGCTCTCATCTGGATTTCGAAGACGGGCCTCTGTTTACGTCTGGTAGAGCCGTATGAATTGCCCACCCTGGATCCGCCAATGACCGAATGAGGGCTTCAATTTTC